GAATCCAAGCATTTAGAACCGTTTTTGACCCTTCTAAGACACTTTTTAAATTGAAAAAAGAAACATCATTAAGTGAAGCAGGGGACCTAAAATCGCATTCGTTATGCGAAGCATGGTCCCAAACTTCGCTAAGCGAAAATTGCCCATAGGAAACATCGTTATATGGTGCATATTATTTTCTTAAAAAACACATCGCTATGCGAATTCATCGCTAAACGAGGCACTCGTTAAGCGAGGCACCACTGTAATAGACAATAGTTCCAACCTGGAAATCAATGTATTGGTGCAGAAGTCAGTTTTCCTCAAGCAGGATAGTGTAGTATAAACTGCAGTCGTCCACAACCTTGCGCCTCCACATGTTCTTGGACTACAACTCCCAGAAACCTTTACTACCACCTCTGCTGGCCAGGATTTCTGGGAGTTGAAGTCCAAGAACATCTGGAGGCCCAAGGTTGGGGACCCCTGGTATAAAAGATAGGAAAGTACTGTTTTTCATCACCATTTGCCAACATTCTAAAAATTCAGCGTAAGAGACAGTGAAACTGACACATCTGCCCATCCCTAGGATTACGAATCATGTTTCTGTTTGGTCTGGTCACAGTTACCAACATTTGCAGAAGAAGAACAAAAGGAGGAGGAAGAGAATTTGGGGAAGGAAAAGAAATGAAATTGACAGATTTGCCTAACCATACTATAAATCGGGGTAAGGAATATTTGTCTTGAGGGGGTCTGATTTTTTATGTGTAATCCATTGCCATGGCAGATAATGCAATTTTTTATAAGCCATTAACCCATTCTTCATTTGCAAATCTGATTTTTTTCAGACAGTAAAGTCTGCCTGAATCACCTCTCTCTCTCTCTCATAACAGGTTATCCCTAATTACACAGCCCTCAGCTAGCTGTTTGCAGGGGGCTTCAACTCATTGTCCTCATCTTCTTGTTACCGTGATTTTCTACCACTGTTTTCAAGCCCCTTTCAAACTTGCTGAAAGCACAGTTCACTTCCAGTGTCAGTTTGTACTGGGGTTGGAGTTTAGCTCTTCTGTTTTTTATAGACTATACCCGTGGTGAGAACTGCAATGGAACACTTCCAATTAGCAGTAAACAAAAACCAACCAGAACAGAACAGCTCCAGCTGAGAAGATCTGGCAAAGAAGTAGATTTCTTTAATTTTTCAAAAGGAATTTAAACAAATGTCTTAAAGAGAAGCTTCTTGCTTAAAGAGAAAAGATGTTTGCAGACAAGCATTCAAGAACATGTTTTCAGGACATGTCCACATGCAACATTTGTCCTCATCCTCTTTTTGCCAGTTGGGTCTGGAGGTCTACATAATCTATCTTGATCTGCATCTAAACTTCTCCTCAAAATGTTTAACTGCAAATCCAAGTAGACTGAGGGTTCCTTCAGCACAAACTGGCAAAATGGTGGTAGGGGAGGAAGAGAGCAACAAATGCTCCTTTTGAAAGTGTCCTAAAAGGGCAGAATACTATTCTTGGTTGGACTGATCAGTTTGGTACAGGTCCATCTCTTCTTAACCATACTTTAAGCAAATGTAAACATTTGTCCCAGCTCTTTACCTCAGAAGACACACAGGTATCATCAAAGGAAGCTTTTGCAGATGACATGAAAGCATCGACGACGGTGATTTCCTCCAACTCTGTGTTGAAATGATCGGATTCCTTGATGACACTGTAGTTGAGGACCACACTGTAGCTGGTAGGCTTCTCCAACTGTTTTTGCTGGCATTTGCAGAGTTTTTTGAAGGCTGCTCTGAATTTTTGGGACATGAGGTTGTAAATCACAGGGTTAATGGCACTATTTAGGTAAATGCAGATCCTGCAGAAGAGCAGGAACCAGTTTTCTTGGAAAGGGTGGGACAGGAAAGAGTTGATAACCACGAGGGTCCTGTAGGGCATCCACAAAAGTGCAAACAGGATCACAACTACAGCCAGCATTTTGGTAACCTAGAGCAAAAGAAAAGGCATGGCCTGTAAGTGACAGAGTGGGAGGGGGAAGCAAGAGAGTTTGAAGGCAACCTCTTCCCAGTCTGGATAAGTGTGAGAAACTTGTGACTCTCTAGACATTATCAATCACAATCTCCACTATCCCCGGCCATTGGCTGGGGATAATAGGATTTACAGTTTTGTCATCACCAAAAAACTCCAGTTAAGGAAAGACAAGCAAAGCTGGTGTCTCTAGCATGTTTTCTTCAGCCCTCATTATTTCTGTTTTCTCTTTTGAAAGATATTATGTTTTCAGTTTCAAAACTGGTAGAGGAAACTCTGGTATGCAGTTATGAAAAAGCCTGAGCAAATCACAATATAGAGTGGAGTGTAGACAAGAGCCTGTGAAACGTTAAAAAGGATGAACACTGTTTCATCCACATTCTTAGACAAACCATGGACACATGGATTTATGTATGCTTCTCTAGCATAATGCTTAATCTGACTAAAGGCACACAATCCTGTGAAAGGAAAACGTGAAAAAACTACTTTTAAATATTATAGTTCCTAGTTGTAATTGTGGCATATAAAATAGAAACTGGAGAATTTGGAGAATTCATGTCCTTGAAAGTAATTTTTCCAAGCTTTGGACTAAAGCTATCTATTTTCCTCTGAATCTAGGAGTAACTTTTTTCTTTTTCTATTATTATTATTATT